TCTGGGGCCGCCCAGGTGTGGTGCCAGCCCAAGCCTGCCGTTCTGGTGCTTGAGTGTTTTTAAGCTGCCACCGTCGCTCCCGTTATTCCATTCCAGCGGTGCCGCCTCCTCCTCAACCCTCCCTGCCAAATTAACCCAACAGGGCCGGCTCCCGCTTCCCCCAGCCCCGCACAGGCCCCGGGAGCAAAGCGCCTCCAAGGAGGTTTTTTTGCTTCCAGTTACTTGAAGGAGGAAATGCCTGAGCTCAGGACTTGGTGATTCAGATTTTAGAGCGAGCGGGGTGGATGTGACACCCCGGCCGTGTCTCTGCTGCCAGCGGGTAGCCCGGGCCGGGCGCAGACACAACGTTCCCTCCTCATCTGGCTCAGGAAAGCCCAGCTTTGCTGCGCCCTTGCACGTCCCTTGCTGAGGACGGGCGCCGAGGAACCTCGTGACGCCAGTGCCAAGCACCGTCGAGCCCCTTTCCAGCCACTGCCGCCTCATCCCAGCCCCGGAGCGGGATGGGAACAGGTCACCCAGCGCCACCGTCACCTCTGCGGTCACCGCACCGGCGCAGCGTTACCTTAACGAGCCTGCAAACCCTCGGAATCTCCACTAACAGCCTTGGATTCAGCATTCCAGCCTTTGATTCCAGCTGGCTCTGCCCCAACAGACCCCAAACCTTTGCCACCACCAGCCGTGGACTGGACTGCGCTTCCCACACTGTCTTCACCCGGCAGATCCAACCCAGTCGGAGCGGAGCGTATTCCTTGGAAGTTCTACTTTTCACCTGCACAGAAAAGTTCTTCTTGTATAGTAGGTTTTCTACATATTGTTTCTGTATGTACTGTACATGTAACTTATTCTTGAATAATGCAATTTTACCATAATATAAAAGGAAAAAAAAAGATCTGCTCTTAATAAACTGTTTCTAGAATATTTAGCCTGGGTGTCTCTTGCTGCTTTAATAGATTCTGGATTAGCTGCTGCTAAGAGCCAGAAACCATCTAGGAGGTGAATGAGCCTCGTGAACAAGCTGATCTTTCAGCAGACACAGAGCAGGGCTTGCTCGAAGGCGCTGGTGCTGTTTGTAAAGGTCTTATGTCCCCTATTGCCCACCGGGATTTATTTGTAAAAAATCCATCACTACAGGGTGATAGTCCAAGGAAAGACTAAGAAGTTACTGATGATACTTGCATTCCCCAGCGTTTTCTCTCCGTGCCACAAAAGAACTGTTAACTGTTGCCCCTGAGACCTCACATATACAGGAGTGACTTGCCTTTCAAATGCAACTAAATTTGAACTTGGCTCTTCTTTTTGCTGATTTTGGGTGCCTGCACCGTGCAGAAGGGGGAGGAAGACCTCGGTATTTTATAGGCAGTGAGGACTATCCAAAGGATGGGATAGGCTCTTCTTCTCCCCTATGGTTTTCCATCGTTTCCCCTGTCGTTCCATTAAGTTAGCAATGCTGATCCCATTGGCTTCCTTTCCCCTGCAGCACTGCTGACTTGGGCAGTTTTATCATCGTCACCGTCAAGTCCAGCACGTGAACACGTGAGAATACAAGAAATAGTTAAAATCCTTCCCGATTTTCCATCTTGAAACCTGTCGCTTACTTTTGCAATGGTCCTGCAGGTCAAACAGCCCCGATTCAGTTTCACTGGAGACAGAAAAAAAGCAAAAAAGACCCAAAAAAGCCCCTACCCAACCCACAAAGCAACAAAATAAAAACACAGCGACGCGCTCTAAATGAAGGATTCCTTCCAATGTGGATCATGAGCTGGAAAACACATTAGAGAAAGGTGCTGGTAACACAAGACACAAACACTAAGCGGATCAGTTTTTAAAACTTTTTTTATTTTTTAATTTTTTTTTAGTTTTTATTTTATATTATCTACAAAGTAAAAGTTTTCTTAACTTAAAAGTTACATCACTGTCTCACGATAGTGATCATCTCATCAAACGTGATTTATAAATAATAATTCATCAGTTTGACGATTAGAATTTTTTTTTTTTTACTGAACCTGTTTCAAGTTTAGTTAGAAGTAAAAGGGATCTCCAAGTCTTGATTTTTAGTGATAATAGCAGCAAGAATCACTCTTGTTACTTCTTTTGCTAGCTGATGAGTTCATAACTTTGAAGGGTCATTAAAAAATAAATAACTTCCAGTTTTCAGCAAGCAGAGTTGGGGCATTTGCAGGACTCAGATACAGTGCATGGAATTATGGAATAGCCCACAAGTTCCTAAATGCCTCTACTCAGTCCGAATCTCTCCCACTGCAAGATGAACTGTTAGCATTCCTAGTGGATGTTACAAGAAATCAATTTTTTTTTTAAACAAAATAAAATGAAATTCTAGTTTTCTGTGCTTCCAGTTGGCAGAAGCAGTAGAAGGAGGGTATTTGGCCTATAAAAGGTATCCAGCCTTTCAGTTATTCCAGATGAGCCTTACAACTGCTGTTGGTGGTGGGCTTGTACTGTAAAAAAAAAGTTCAAATGTAAATAATAAATTGGCAAGCCACACAACAGTTTGCTAGTAAAGTGGTCACAGGACAACTACTGAGCTGAAATTCCTTTTTTTTTTTTCCTTAAAAAAAAAAAAAGAAAAAAGAAAAGAAAAAGAAAAAACAGAACAACCCCCTGCATACTAAGATGCCCTTTGTTTGCTTGCTTTATTTTCCTAGCCCCTCAGCATCCTTGTTCTCCTCACACATCCCCCAGGACACAAAATGAGGTATCTAGTTCCCTACAAGAGTTCAGAGGCTGTTCAGAAAAAAAAAAAAAGAAAAATAAAAATACAGACACCTAGGTACGAATTAAATTTAACATGGAAAGTCATATAGCCTCTACTTTTCCCCAAAATAAAGCTGCAGAATGTTGCTCTGAATTAAAGAACAGACTTCAAATGCCATTTTACTTCAGCTCTCAGAAGTCTAATGGCCCTACCCCTTTGGGGGTGTTTCCATTCCTATCTTCAAGACCAACCGCTTCCAATTTGGTGAAACCCCGGATCACTAAACACGGCCACGCAGTCCAACCCCCACGGCCAAACCTGGAAAGGCAGAGCCAGGCCAGGGCCTGCACATTTGGGGAATTCTGCTAGACCAGGTCTTTGTTAAATCAGCTCAATCCTGTACGTAGAGCTGGGCCTGCACTGGGGCTGGCACTGCCTAAACGCTACCTGCAGAACAAGCTGCTTTCTGCAGAGTGCTGCTGCTAAAGGACATTTTCGGGGTTTGTTTTTTGCTGTTCTCCTTTTCCCCACATCTGGCTGACACACGACCTGGCTCGGTTAAGGTGCAGGTCTCCCGGGCACACACTCCTCACCTGAAGGGTGCGTCATATAGGGGAAATGTGTTGTTGTCGAGACGGGAATGGGCTGTAGTGCACTTTGAGCGATGGCCGCTTGGGGACCACCGGGTGGCTGTGTCGTCATTAGCATCATTGGAGCATGGGCAGTTGGGTGAGAAGGAACCATTCCTGACTGTACATGAGCCTGCAACAAAGAGCTCTTTAGTATCGAATGGTCACAAGGAGGCATCACTCCTGGCCACATGACTAGCAAGTTTTCTCCAGCTGTACCAGTAAATCCAGAGATTTACTCCATTTTAACTAGCTCAGCTAAAGAGTAAAAATAGGGATTAAGTCAGTGATCTTAATGCAAAAATAATAATTTAAAAAAAGAAAAAGCTCAACTCGCTACAGCTGGCTCTGAGTAACATTCTCACCTCTAACAATTTCGACAGCGGGCACAGAGGCTACCAGCATTAAACGGTGGGATTAAAAACAAAACAAAAGAAAAAAGGCCCAGCAACAAATCTTCAAAACGTTATTGTTAGTAACAGAGATCAAAGCACTTCCTATGCAGAGACGCTCTGGCGAGATATGAACTTCACACGCACCGAGTCTGGCCTCCCCTTCTCATTTATTCCACAGTTCCACCCTTCCACGGCTGCCTGCCCTAGAAACCACTCTCTGCAGTGACCTGTGCCCATATTATCTTTCATCTAAGCAGTTACTCCAAGATGAGTGATTTCATCCCTTGATGTTGTCAGGGCAGCTTTGTTCTGTTTCCAGTTAAGCTCATCACATTTGGGTCCTTGTGTAATCGAAGCAATCATAGGCAAGTCTCGGGGGAAGGAGGAGATTAATCTTTATGATGGCTGATCAGCTTCTGGTAAACAAGTTCAGAATCTGGTCAGTCGGCTTCCTCAGCTCAGAAAAACAAGAGTTTACGATTGTGGAGATTGTCAATATTTTGTTTTAAAATACAGTAAGTACTGGTTTCTTAAAAGCACAAAACATTAAGGAATCCAAGAGCTGCCAAGTGGGTCTGTCTTGGAAAGAAAATGCGGTTGCTCTAAAGGGTTGATTTATCCTCCTGCCCTGTCCCGTTAGCAGAGCACTACAGTGCACTAACTGCAGCCTTGCAGGTCTCACATGCCAGTAAAGACAAGTAGCAGGTAGCAGCTACAATTTTATTTCTTGAAGACAAAAGGGCAGTCTTTTATTTGACTCATCACAGACATTCCTGAATTTTTTAATCAGACTCAGGATTAATTATTAATATCATTCAAGATAGCTTTTTAAGACAGGAACTGCAATTCAAATCTTACTCTTGTTCTAGAAAAAGTTTAAAAGATAATGCTGTGAAACAGAAATATCTTTGAGGATCAGCACCATTTTCACTTTGATGAACCTGCTATTACAGCAGCCATAAGTATAAAGCAGCAGCTGTTCATATAGCAGCTGTATTCGATATAAAAATTTCTGCTGCGGCTCAAAGCTTTGCAGATTGGGAGCTGACAGTACTTTGCAATGATTTTTAAAATACTGTTTCTCAAGTGAGATATCTAACAGCTCGAGATCCATCTGATAACCTCAGGGGAAAGTCAATTGATCCCCTGTGTTGGCCTAACAAATTCCTACATGATGAGAATTCACAATGGTGTTCAGCAGTTGGAAATCACACTGCTGAAAAGCTATTAAATGCAGTGATTAGTTTCCCCACAATGGAATAATTACATACATTTAAAATTTCTTTAAGAACTGTAGTTATTCCTTCATTAGAGATTTTTAGGAAACTTCTTCCTTTCAAGAAGTCAGTTAGTATGGTATAAATATCATGGATTATATACTGTAGTTTTCATCCTAAAAAAATTTACAGCAGAAGAGACTGCGTAAGTCAAAAATCAAGGGTTAAAGCAAGCTTTGCCTGCGACTGCTAAAAAATCCTGGCTAGGCAGCCTTTCTAAAACTTGTATTGCATTTGCTTTAGCAAGGTTTGCTTGCGAAGTGCTTGACACACGAAGGAAAACACTGGCAGCATCGTCCAGTGCAGGCCTGGGTATTTCATGTGCAGTTTTACCTCCAAGCTGACCTTGGAAGCAACAGTGCTCCAGGTGCAGGACTTAACCTGTCACTGACGAAAGAGCTTCCAGCAGGACCCTTCCAAGGGGTCCCATGCTGGAATTTCAAGGCATCCCAAGCAGCTATGCAACCTAGGCATTCACAGCAGTACCATCACACCAGGTCACAGCAAGAGCTCGCTTAAATCTAGTATCTTGCTTCTGGCAAGAAAACAGAGCCCGAGAGGATGTGGCAAGATGCCACAATAGCAGTATATAAGTTTAGACATCCTCTCTTTGCCCTCCAACAGGGGGGAGAAAAAAAGCAGAGAAATGAAAAGCCTAACAAATAAAAAGCTAAAACTTCAACATGAGTAAAGCAATTCTTAAACAACAGTTAATTCATTTGATTAACTGAGCGTCCCAAGGACCAAAGCAAAGACTTTTATCAGAATTCATTAAGGGACTGGACACCTATTAGGCTAACATCCCTAATTAGAGTTAGTGACAATATCCCAAACTATTGTCAACCTGTATGAGAAGACAAAAGCCAGACACCAGGTGCTTGGTTCTAAGAAATTGTGCAGACAAATTACTCAACTGTCCACTCATTGACAAAACTCACTACATCTGTGAGATTTAGCACCACATTAGAAAACCTTTTAAACATTGCTTTATGTGGGGCTCTTGATTAATAATGTGCTTTCCTTTCCTCAGGGAGCTGACTACAAGAGAGCAGTTAGGAGTAGTGGGATTCTGATCCTGAAGCAAGGATTGTGGTGAAGTTGTCCACCAAACATCAGGAATTTCCTGTCCATTTCGAACCCGACACACACACACATTCAGACTTTTCTTTCTCAGCAAGGATTGCCCTGCACCTATCTGAATTGAATCCCATTTATCTCCCACTACCCTGCTGCCCTGATACTCACTCCCTAGTATTCCTTTGCAATATCCTTTACTGGATGTACCTGTATAATTTTGAATAAAACGCAGAGTCTAACACAGCCACCAGAACTAGCAACTCAGCCTTCCTCAACTCAGCTCTCACCTCCAAGCCTTCTCAGTGTGATCACGCAGCAAACCTGATCGGTGAACTGATCTGACTAAAAAATAGCCTAAAACAGGGGCGAGGGGCACACATTAGCAGAATCAGGTCCCCGGTCTGGTTTGCTGCATGACCAAATAGTTCTGCGAGCAGAATGGTGGGGCAGGACAAGGACAGGAGGGAGGAACTGGGCAGAGAGCTCAATTTTTTTCAGCAGCAGTGCTAGCTTCAGAGGTCTTCATTAAACTGCAGCTGTAGATGTACTGAGTGGAAGCTGAGGCCCCATTATCTTGTAAAACTCTAAAAAAAAAGGCAATGTACAGACAGAAATCTAAAAAAACATAACAGGTAATTTGTGCCGAGAGGTGACAGAATGGAAATCCCTTCAGCAGGCCCGACTGTCCTATCTTTGTGGCATTAAGACATTTAGTCTTGAAGGTTGTTAAACTGTGTTTACCTGGGGGACATGGGCCATGTGTGGCGGATTGGTATATGCAGGTTGAACATGGGAGGGATGGATGGTGAAGACTGTTTGTTGTGCTGTAGGAAAACTATTTTGTGGAGACTGCGTATTGGAGCCTGGCGTCATGGAAGGTGGGGTTGGAGCTAGACCTGCATGGTAAATCGCCGACTGCTGCTGGGGGTTTGCCAGGTGGAGTGCCTGAGCAGCCTGATGCTGATGATGCTGCAAAAAAGATTAAAAAAAAACCCAGTAAGGTGAAGGCTTTGGTCTAGAAAAGGTATACATTCTTAGACAGGTTTGCAGAATAAAAGGCTTGCAAAACTGCTCTTGATATTGACTACCTTAAATGGCAGATCCAAGTATTATCACACCTATGGGAATGATGAAACTCATTTTTTGCCCTTGCACTAAGAAGTCGTATGAACAGAGGCCTGGAAAACGGATATATTCACTATAATGTAGGAGCCAGCTATAAACAGGAAGGAGAACCTGCAACCTGGGGGCGGGACACACTTAACCACTACATTTACAGCAGTCCATAATCCTTTCTAGCGACTAACACCTGCTAGCTTCCTTAAACTAGACCGTGAGCTGACTACCTTTGGCTTCGAGGCACTGCAAATGGAGAAAAATGAAATATCATTTTACTCTCTCCCTTCTAGGGAACAGAAGGAGGATCTAGACAGCTCCTATAAGAAGTCTGCCATGGAGAATTTGTTCAGACAACTCAGTTTTATGATTTTTCCTCTTAAGACCCATCTATCGATGCAAAGTAACAGATTGACACAATGCCTTCTAGGGAAGGGGCCAAGTAAAGTTTCCAAACATTCCCTCTCGAGGTACCTGCACGGGGCTAGGAGCAGGGTGGCTTCCAGCATGTTGGCTTTGCTGCTGGCCAGTCGGTGTGGCAGAAGGCTGCGGATGCGGAGGATGCGGATGCAGGGTAGCATTAGGGTGGGCATACTGCTGAGCAAGTGAGCCAGTGGAAACTAGGATGAAAAAGAAAAACGTTCAACAACTCGCACAGAATACACACCAAATCATCTGCTCTTGAAGATTTCACTCCATCATACCGTAAATCTATTCCCTCCCCCGTCTAAAAAATAACATTTATCTTAAAATTGCTGAGTATCTTACCTTGTTTTCATGTAGTTTGTTTTTTTCAGGAAAGTATAAATAACTATAATTAGACAGTTCATCTTCCCTAGTCTGACAATGTAACAGATACTTCTTATATAAGAGCAATATTTCAACTTTTGTTTAGTCAAACAGACAAGTTTAAAATATCAAATTTATCATTTCCACACAATTTAGTTTTTCCTGAAGTATACCTTAAAAAGGTGTTACAAGCCATTTTTATTTCCACCATCCAAAAAATTCTTTGGCCTTATACCTGGCTAACCTCACCATGCTACTCTTCTGGAAATTGCTCACAGCACTGTCAGTGTAAGGTATACACACTACATGCATAGGTAAGAGCTATAGGGTCAGCATATACCCAAAAATCTAAGAAAACTAAGGCTTCCTGAGACCAAGTTTTTGTTGAAGCCAGCATCTTATACTAAACTACCATATCTTTCTCCTCAAAACCAATTACAGATTCTTTTCTGGATCACCACCATCCACTGAGCTTCTTGACATTGCTATGAAATTCTTCATTCCTTGAAACAGTAGCAAATTAGATATGAAATTCCATAAAAGGAAAAACAAAACAATAACAACGACGACAACAACAAACCCAACACACACACAAAACCACAACAACACGAAACTTTCACACAAGTGAAACCACATCTGTCGCTACAGCCGTATCGGTCTCCAACAACAAACTAACTTCAACGCATCCTCCTTGAGGAGTCTGCCCTGTTTTGCTTCAGAAATGCTCAAACTAAATTGCTTTTTTGATTTTTTTCTGAATGAATATAAGAAAATACGAAAAGCCACAAGAAAAGAAAGACTGCTCTCAAACTCCAAGCATTTCACTAGAGAGCGAGATGCTGAGGAAACAAAGCTGCACACTGTCTATTCCCCTACATTGCTCTTAGATCTTGGGTAACATCCAATCCACAGCTGGCAAATCCATCTGTGCAGGTGGTAACACGCGCTGCACTCTGCAGTATCCCGGCTGTCAAAACTGAGGCCAGTTCTGCTGCCCACAGGGATGAAAGGGAAACATTCAAAGCAACCATCAACCTGCTCCTCAACCTGTGCCGTGCGACTGCTATTTACTCCTCCAAGTAATTTCTGACTAAATTTAATTAATTTTTACTATCAGGGTTACAGCATTCTTACAGGGTTTGTTACACAAGAGAGCTTGATGGCCATATGCAGAGCCTCTCAGCAGCATGTCTTTACAGGTAATTTTTTTGAGGTGGGCTGGTTACAATGTTTTTTTTTCCCTTTTCTGTTTTTTTGGTCTGAGTAAACCATCTGAAAAGCAAGCACAGGGTTTGAGAGGGAAGGATAAAAGGGAGGTAAAAGGAGAAACTTTAAGGGTAACTGCTACCCTGCAGACACCTCCCCTGGGTATCTGTGGCTAGTGACATGCAGCATCTCTGCACATAACTGTTGGCTGCAGGTTCTGAAGATTTTCACCGTGCTGGACTACAGGGTTCCAATTACAAGAGATCTGCCCGAGTGTATAAAGGATAAAAAAAAAAAAAAGCAAGAGATGAACAGAGAAAATGGCCAAAAAAGGAGCTGCATCTGAAAGCACATTGGCATTCAGCACGAGGACATGCAGCCACGTGGTGCTCTGCTAACCGGCCTTGCTACATTACTACTCTATGCACATATTGGTTTTCCTCCAGTTTGGCTTGCTGTGAAGCTTACACTCCTAGAAAACAGTCAAGCTCACACACGGAATCTTTTCACTTAGCTGAGCCCTATACACATGAGCCTTCTGCATTAATGCTTCTAATTTAATTTAATGCCACCTTGAAAGCTCTACGAACTCTTCAGTGAGCAAATGGTCTAACAGGGACGTGCACTCCAGCTCCACGTAGTTCTGCAGAGGATCTTCCTATGTGCTTGCAAACCTAAATCCTTTCAGACTGAGTCTTACTTTGAGCCTATCATACTTTACGTGGTAAACCCTCGCGTTCAGCATTTCTCATGGGGAGAATTTTTTGGAAATTTAGCCTTCAATGTTTTCTGTTTTCTTTTGCAAGATTACGCATCTTTTGCCACAGCACTTGGCTTTTCATATC